GCTTTCTTCTCCCATTGGATTAAAACAAAAAACAATTACAACCACATCACCAAATCATTTACACTTTTTCCTTGCACAAAAAATGCAATGTTTTTTTGTTTTTTTTGCCTAAGTATACTAACCAATAGGTATGCAAAAAACAAACTATATCCTTTTTGCAACCAAAATTTGCCTTGCCACATTTTTCTGTTCACAATGTCAAACTTTAACCTTATCTTATTTGCTCTACTAAAAGTAAAACATTACATTTATTGTATACTGAATTATTAAACACGACACATTCATTGCTTTTTTTTTTCCCCACAGAGCATCATTAGTGATGTGAAGCCAATAGTACGTGTTATCAGAGGACGACTGTCGGCTGAAGTACATGTGTTGTTTGAGAATGTAGAACATGTTGTCAAACTGCATAAATCAACAGGTAAACACTTCATTATTATACATCTGACAGTGAATAACTATAGACGCTGAGTGACTGTGTTCTGATTATGCCATGTTTTGCATGAAAAATGCTGTGATTATTTGTTTATTTAATACACAGTAACGAACATGGATGGTTTTTTTAAAAAAAAAATTTTTGTGCCAGGGGATAGTTCTAGACATTGAGTGTTACTGTTGTCTCTCCTGACTTTTTTTTTTCTATGTGCAAATTGCAAGTGCTAGTGCTGACACATAGTGCATTTTTGCCACAGAAGTCATATTCATGTTTGGGACTACATGACACAGCTGTGTGGCCATCTCTCTATCAAATGGCAATTTTAATGCGCTATCCTGGTGTCAACCAGGCTCGGTCGAACACAAACACCTGTGGACCTTGCCCAAGGTTCCTCCAAAGTCGCATTTGTTACTGAATGAATCTTGGCCAGTGGAATTGGCCTTCTCATTGAGTCTGTGGCACACTAACCCAGGGTAGGGGTCGACCATTTCGTGTTGGGTCTGATGCGACAACCACTATGCCGAACATGGATGTTTGTCTCCAACACAAAACACCTCTTTACCCCCCTCCCCGCCCCTAATTTCAAATCTTTACTTGAGCAAAATTCCAAATTGATTATTTTAATATCCATGATGGCTCTATCATTGATTATTGCACTTGATGCATTATCAGTAACGCCAAAGTTTTAACTCTACATTCAAAACTACCATACTCATCCGACTTGGTATGTGTTCAGAAGTTCCAGGAGAATTGTGACAATACAACACAGCATTCTGATCGGCTAATAACATGCTTGACCTATCAGGTCAAATCCACGCAACTAGTTTTGTAATTTTATTCTCTCAATCTGTCACATGGTGTGAAGTAAAATTTGTATTTGCACACTTTTTTAAGGGGGATGCTCAGGT